AAAAAGCACTCACTAGAGTCAAAAATATAAAAAAAATAAAAAATATATATAAAATGATGCTATATAGGGATGTATTGAACTTAAAAAAAAATTCTTCGAATCATCAAATCATGAGTGCTTTCGTTTATATTTCAAATTAAGTCACTGACCTGTCAAGCTATTTCGACTCATAATCTGTCCGAATGTTTCACTCCTTCGACACAGCAACTCAATCCTTTTTACTCAAAACTGTCGATGGCTCTGGCTTTCATTTCAACATGTTGCACTAGAGGCATTGTCAAAAGATCATGGATTCTATAAAAAAAAGTATTCATTTGTTATTATTATTTCATTTCATTTCATTATTATTTCTAAAAAAAAGKTTGACGGCACAAGGTCACGTGACTGAGCAAATGAATAAATCTGCAGCGTATTCTTATCTTCTGTAAATTCCGTCGACCAGTGTTCAGATATTTTGACGATATCGGCTGGTACTTGAATTCATAAAACTGTGAATTTATGTTATGTCGCGCTTTTTTTAATATGAAGTTGCTGCAAATAATATAAGAATTCAGCGGCCGAAAAGCTCTGGAAAATGTAAGAGAAATCAAGAAGTACCCTGTCAGCCTGTAGCAGTAAATACTGTAAACACCGTGTAGATATGAATATTCGCGAGACGCTGAAAGACGCCAAACAAGGCGCTCTCTACAAAGTCAAAAAACATTGTCTCACTGTCTCACAAAAATTATCTGCCAATATTTGAACAGGTCAACCTTTATAATACTGTAACGACAATATAGAGCGTAATAAAAACAAAAATAGATGATAAAAACAGGAAAAAAATACATATCATTTTTGTACGTTTATAGTGTCACCGACCGTTTTTGGTAGTGAGCAAGTAATGTTCTCATTTATTGTTTTTACTTGCGAAGAAAATACAGGACAGTCTAAATGTTCGCGGTTCGCGAAAAAAAAATATCACGGATTTCAATTCATTTATAGTCTTTACATTGTTTTTATTAAAAAAAAAATTAGAAAGATGTAAATGTAAAAAGCATCAAAAAGAACAAAAACCAAAAAAAATATTGGTCTATATGTGCAATTTGTCTTTTCAGTGCATACGTTTTACAAAAAAAACACATTAACAAATTCTAATTGGCAAACCATCTTCTCGTAGGGTCCCTGTATCTCATTCACTTGCGGTAGACTCAGCAAAGATTCTATTCGGAGTCGTAAGATTTGTCGAACGCTCTCAGAGTGTCTAGTTTGAAAATGGAAAGGACAGCGATAGAGACAATTTCATATAACCCAAAAAATCAACTAATTTCTTCTCAGTCAAAGCCATAAAAAAAAATTTTTACCCTAAAAAGGAACTAGTTATTTTATTCTATTCTACTTGAAAAAAAATATTTACTAATTGACCTTGACAACTTTTTATACTATATTTTTTGTCAAAAAAAACAGTTTTCTTTAAAACATTCTTTTTGCGAATTACCTTATCATTTGGAAAAAAAATGCAATTCAATTAATCCGCGCTTTCATAGTACAGCGGTATTTCCGCAAAAAAAAATGACGTCMTAATCGTTAATCAAATCACTCACCTGGTATCTTCGATAAAAAAAAGAGGTAAGTTTACGTCTCCTTCATGAAATAACTATTGATCATTCTGAAAAAAAAAATTTCTTTTATTTTTCAGATTTGTAACTTAAACTTCTTGTAACTCAAAAAAAACTTTTGATTCCGAACAATGGCTTCCGTTGGAGGAAAAAAAACATGTTAAAAGTAAGTATCGATTTTGATGGAAATATCTGATACGATCACGTGATCATATTTATCATCATATTTTTCTAAAAGCGCTATTTTTGACTAACTTCAGCCGATGACGGACGACGACAAAGTCCAGAATCTGGACGACACAGTCCAAAATCGGTAAGTAAACTAGGAATATGGAAAATAGAACTTTTTAAAGCTGCAAAAGATAACAAGATAAAAATAATCTATCAATAAACAATTTTCTCAAAGTAGATAGTTACTATTGGTAGGAAAATTGATTTTGTCACCAAATAAGTAGATATGTAGTTGT